CCGCCACCATTTCTCATTGGCTGCCCTCAGGTGGGGGCATTTCTGTGGTCAGTTACCCTGGAAACCAGGGAGAGGACATTCCATAGTCTGGCAGGCATTACCTCGTGACTATCTTGTGACTCTGTACTTTTACACTTTATCGTTTCTGGGATCTGAACTGACTGGTTTCAGTAACTAATGGCCTATTCCTAAAAGGAGAAATCTTAGGCCTTAGTTTTTGGGTGAAAGCATTTCTAAGATGGCTCATTTTGGTCTCAAACACAATATTTTGGGAACACAATACCACCATAAATCTCTGTAGTTCTGAGTGGTTATTTAGTCTTCTAAATGAGAGCTTTATACAAATAATTAAACAATAAATTATATTTTCAAAATATTCTTTGCTTAACAAACATTCTTTAGAAACACTGAATTTTCCAACTGTATTTGTCCAATCTGTAATCCATTTATTCCCCACATGGAACTTAGATATCTACTATACAGCATACACATTCTTCTACCTCTCAAGACCCTCTCATTCTTAAAACCTTTATATTTCTCTGCCCAGTCAGCTTTCCTTACATTCTATAAATTTAAATATTGAATACAATGAACCATGCTCATTTGAATCCCTAGTTTCTTTTGGCTTAAAGCTTTTTGAAAATCAAAGCAAGGGAGCTATGATACAGTGGATTATCTCCTCATAGAGATATTTACCCAATTTCAGTGTGAATCCATGGACATTTTAGGGGGTGCAAGGCAAAGCACTGTGGCCTGCTTTGCTACCATTTGGTGTCTGGATTATTATGGACACTCTATTGTCTGAGGACTAGGTTGTGTCCCTGTTGGCAGCAAATATAGAAACATTACTTACTTTTGAGCATTGAGAAATGAAAAAAAATTCAAAGTATTGATGACTGAGGATTTAGATTTTTGTTTGTTGTTACTGCTATTTTCAACCTGTTTGCCTTTCATAGTCTTAAGAGCTAAAATTTACATAGATACAAGTGACCTGTAGAATTGCCATGGGCCTGTGGATTGTATTGTATTTCATTTTATGTAAGGCACAGTGACTGCATGATAACCTTTTATTTTGTATAGCAGAAAAGTTAAAAATATTGCCAATTATAGTCATAAAACATCATGGCAGAGATTTTAGCAATGCTAAAATGTAAAATAAAGAGGTAGGCACAATGGCACTGACCTGCAATCCTACTTACTGGGAGGATTACCAAGTTCAAGGCCATCTTGGGGAATATAGTTTTAAAATGTTGTAAACATATTTGAATAAAAAATTATGTCTGCAGAGTAGGTAGAATTCTGTTATTTCTCTTCATTGAAATATTATGATTGTTATCAGTAGGAAGACTAATCATTATTGTATCCACCAAACACTGACTGTCAGGTGCTGGAAGCACTTGTCCATGCTCTTGAAGATGTGAATTGAAGCATCACAGTAGCACAATGTAAGATAGCTACAGTGTTGAATCCCCATCCTGTGCATGGGGAAATTCAGTTATGGAGCACATAGAAAGCCTAATATATAACATATAATATTGCCAATTATAGTCATAAAATATCATGAATTATAAATGGCAGAGATGTCAGTGATGCTAAAATGTGAAATAAAGAATAAGGTAGGCACAGTGGCACTGGCCTGAAATCCTACCTACTGAATACTAATATATATAATATGTAACTTGTTTATAACAGCAATTAGAGTAGCATTTAAATCCAAGCTGAATTCAGTTTTTTGAGTGTTCTGTTATGCAGAAGGATAGACCTTCTGATAGAGCACTTATCTTAAATGGGATGGCCATGCACTATATCCCTAGCACAGCAAATGAACACTTGAGTAGAGAAATAAGTAAATAATAAAAATTCCAGTTACTTCTCTTACATCAGAAGGAAATGAAGTTTGCTATCTAGTATTTACAATTGAATGTGCCTTTATATGGTAATTTGTAATTTCCTAAAATGTCCTTTCAATTTTTAGACATCACTCCATTACGCCTGTGCACACAATCATCCAGACGTGGTAGCATTGCTATTATCCAAAAAGGCCTCTATTGATGTCCAGGATGATGAAGGCTATACACCCTTGATTAAGGTAGCTATTGGGCAGCAGTTTTGGTATGAATTGGATTAGTTCTTGTCCTTGTTTGGTTGGTTGGTTTTGTTTTTGTTTTTTGGTTTGTTTTTGTTTTTGTTTTTGCTTTTTTGTTTTTGTTTTTTTGCTGTGATAAAACACTGATAGAACCAAAATCAACTCAAGAAAGGAAATGTTTATCTGGCCCACAATTCCACATCACAGTCCATCATGAAGGGAAACCAGGGCAGGAGCTCAAATCAGGAATCAGAGGCAGGAACTGCAGCAGAGATCATGGGGGCAATGCTGCTTTTCTATGTCCTTTTCCAAGGCTTGCAGCTTTCTTATACTACTGTGGACTACCTGCCAAGTTGTGCAACCACCTCTAGGAAGCGGTACCCTCCCACATCAGCCTCAATCAAGAAAATGCTCCACAGACTTTCCTACACTCTAATCTGATAGAGGCAATTCCTCAAGTGAGGATCCCTCTTTCCAGGAGTCTTCAGCCTGTGTCAAGTTAGCAAAAACAAAACAAACAAACAAACAAACAAACAAACAAGCAACCTCCCTCACTATAACAACAACCAACTAATATTGATGAGATACTTTAATATGTAGGTGTGGTGCACACCCCTGAAATTCTACCACTTGGAAAGCTTTGGTGGGGAGAGTATGAATTTAGGTAAGACTGGGGTACTTAAGAAGACCCTTTCTCAAAAAGAGAGGGATAAAATGCATAACCTAAGCAATTTGTCTGATCTAAGTGTAACTATTCAATGCAATTTTAGAAATATTTATCTTGACTTTCTTGAATTGAATGTCTCTTTCTTTATACAATACCAACAGGCCACACAGAGAAGCAATGTAGAATGTGTAACAATATTACTGTTTCAGGGTGCTACTCCTTACCTGAGGGATTTAAGTGGGAATACAGCCCTGCACCATGCCGTTTCCAGAGACAACACAACAATTGCCAGCAAACTGCTTGACTACAACGCAGATATTGAAGCAAAAACTGAGGTAAAGCCCATTCAACGTCATCCCCAATGTACTTCCAACAATGACGCTCAGATCCACCTATCACATGCCAAAGCTCAAGCAGTGTCAATGAATCTGTTCAGAGTAAAACATTTCTCCAAATATGTTTTTTACATTTTTAAGCATAGTTTAAAGGAACACAGCACAGCCTATTTTGTTTCAGAATTGGGCTTAATTTTAAAATTAAACAAATAAAGGACTTGGGCCCACACACACTTCACATACACACACAAAAAAAAAATAAATTAATTTTAAAGTTAAATGTCTGTAGAATTAACAGATTTCTGTTGAAATTAAGAAGTTATTGATGTGGTTTGTCTCTCAGAGATAAGACTGGAGTGGAAAATAAGAAAGGTCACAGGCACACAGGCAAATTTGATCATTGAAGAAAACCTACCATGAAGACATTTTTTTTTTTTTATTAAACTTGTTCAAATTTTCTTTGTACACAGGAAATGCTGTTCAGGTTGGGAGATAATAATTCTCAGTTTAGGGAAGAAATAGTTTGGATAAACAGACTGAGAAACTGCTCCAGAGGGGCCACTTGAGCTCACTCATTGAACAATGGCACACCAAACCTAGATGCCACGAGATAGGGTTGGGCCAATGGAGGCTCATCTCCATGGAGCTAAGAAGCCTGGAACCAGTGAGTGTTTGTGGAGAGTTCTGGAGAGGAGTTGTGCTCACAGGCAATGTTGGAGAGGGCAGTGGTTTGTCAAAAGGAAGGGTTCAGCTGTGTGTATGTAAACCTGCAGCAAGGGATGAAGGAAAATCTATCCTTTGTGACTTATATTTTACAGAATCTGTGATAAATTTTCAGCTGAAAAGCATGTTGATTTATAAAGTGTAATTTTTTTCTTTATAGTGTGGGCTGACACCTTATAAACTTGCCTTATTTGAAGAAAAACACCATATGGCACAGTTTTTAATGCAGTATGGTGCAAATGCACATTCAGGGGTTGAGTCCAATAGGTACTGTTTCTTCTTTTTTACAATCTTGGTGCTGTTCTTGAGAGTGACAATTGCTTAAGTAAGGAACACTAAAATGATAGGAGGAAGATTGGCTTCAACTCAGAGACCCATAGTGAGTGTGAGCTGGAAAAGGGACTGTTCCCACCAAGAAACAAAACAAAACAAAAACAGTTTGCATCAGGGCTCAGCTTCCCATTTAAAAACAACAGTTCATTATTCATAATCTGATTTGATTAGTGATTTTCTACTAGTTAAGGAAACCATATTAATGTTTTTACTTTGAAAAGTTTCAACTTTAATATTTTTAACAGTGAAATTTGTAATCATTTCAGTATTTTCATTCTGCTTCTTATATTTTTTCCTTTAAAATGTTATGTTCAACATAGTTTTTGAAAGTCATCTTGTCTCTTTGATCAGTCTCGCTGCTTTAAATGGCTTTTGAGCAATCATGACAATTAAATGCTATTACTAGAAGCTATTTTTTTCCTGTCCTGTCTGAAATGTCTTGCTGCTGTGTTGGTCAGATGTGAATCTGTTCACCCACACTCCTGAAACAGCTATCATGGTTAGGGACAGTTATCCACAATGAGTATAAAGAACTAAGACTCAAGTGTTTTGGCTTTGCTGGGGATCCCATCAACAGTAGCCTTTGAACATGGTTCTGTAGAGAAGGTTCCCACAACTGGATGAAGCCCAACATAGAAGCAAGAAAAGCAAAGCTATTGCATCAGAGTTCACCAACTACAAACCCCAGGCACCTAGAGCTTAGCCATAGCCAGGAAAGAAAGGAGATGGAGAGACTGTGCTACCTTCCCATGAGTTTTAGAACAGGCTGTGACTTAACATTACAAGGAAAAAATTGGTGATGGTTTGGTGTCTACTAGCAAACAGGTAACTACAACAACAAATACAATGCCATCTATAGACTGTCAAAAATATGTTGGCTGGAGAGAGTAAAGGCAAGTGTTGCTTTTCTGTTCCACCAAGTCCATCTCTTGGGAGAACAGAGAAGGGACTGTGTGCTATAGGTTCAGGAGAGGAGGGATGAACTAGGAGTAATAATTGAACTGGTCATATACATGTGCAACTGTAAAATATACTTACAGCAGCCATTAAAGCAAAGAATGTGGAAGACCCCCTCTTCCTTGTCCCTGTGTGCATGCCTGTGTGGTGGTGGTGGTGAAAAAACAACTTCAAAGCACCCAAAATGCAGTGACTTCTGCAATTGTTGGCAGCTTAATGCTTAGAGATAGAGTATATTTCATGTTCTACCAAACCAACTTCTTGGGAGAGAGCATGAGACTCAAGGAAATGCCTAAAAAGTTTCTTGACAAGAAAGGGGTCATGGTGCCTTAGGGGTAGAGGAAGAAGAATGAAATAGGAGCACTAGGTGCTTTGAGCACACAAACACAAAGCCATCAGTTACTGCAACCATCAGAACAAAGTGTGTGCAAAAACCACCATCCTCCCTCTAGTGTGTCTGAATATGTGGATGTTGCATGTGATGCATGTGTCTGTGCAGTCATGAAGGGAAGAGGAGGATATCAGTGTTTTGTGTCATTCTCTAGCTTATCTACTTGACATAAGGTCTGTGACTTAACCTGGAGCAGCTAGCAGCCACCAAGCCCAAATGATACCTGTCAATTCCCCCCGCCAGTACTGGGGTTACAAGTGCATGTGTCCATGCCCAGCCTTTTATGTGGTTGCTGAGGATTCAAACTCAGGCTACTGTGTGTGGCAGCAAATACTCTTATCGACTGAGCTATCTCCCAAGCCATTGACTGTTTTAATTTTTATTTTTAAATAGACCTAAGAGTGAGTCTTCACTGAATGTTTTATAGATTGAGTTAAGTTGAAATTCACAAAAGTAACAGAAAACTATAAAACATGGGTCAATGTTGAATTATATAAATGCAAAAATGTCACTTAATATACAGATAACAAATCTTTCAACAGACTTGCTCTGAGGACCAAACCCACCCATTATTGCATAAAGGCTCTCTGAAAAACCTGATGGTCCTGCATGTATACCAGAGGACAAAGACACTACGTATGTTGTTACGGTAAAGTGATCCTTTGTGAAATTCATTTTCTTATGAATTTTGTTAAAATGCAGCAGTTGTCTACCTAGCACAGTTTTGTATGGAAATTTGGGCAGAGAAAAACATTTTTTGGTGTGAACCATCATTTCTATAAATTGTAAGTGAGCAATAAGGCCTCTCAGGTAGTGATGGCCCAATAAAGGAATGGACTGGAAACACAGTGAGTAGTAATTTGTAAATAGATGAGCATATTTGAGGATATTTCAAGTTTAAGTAAGAGTTTCTATCTTTTATGATTCAATACCCTGTGACTGTAGGGAATAAAGCAGTTTTAAAATTGTAACCCAAACAAAAGAATTAATTTCAGAATGAAACAAAGAAATTAAATCTTTTAACTTTCCATTTCAGAAAACCGAAAATCAACCTTCATACGGTAGCAAGATCTGCACTTTAAAAAAGATGAAAAGTGAAATGAACTTGTCTTCTCTGGGAAAGGTAATAACTGATAGCTGCATATAAAAAAAAACTTACTGGTAATTCCCACTAATTTGAAATGAAACAATTGCTTGTGAGAGGAACGATGCCTCTGTGTTCCTATGTCTGCAATATTGCAAATAGTGTCAGCGAAGAGGAACCCAGCCTGGAACATTCCTTCACCTCCTTCATACCCTCACTTTTGAGAACATACAAGCTACTCACCTTCTAAGGCACTAGTTCTCAACCTTCCTAATGCTGTGACCATTTGATGCAGTTCCTCATGTTGTAGTGACCCTCACTATAATATTATTTTGGTTGATACTTCGTAACTGTAATTTTGCTAGTGTTATGAATCATAATGTCAATATATGTACAATCAGAAGATCTTAGGTCACCTCTGTAAAAGAGAGTCCTATGATTCCCAAATAGGTAACCCACAGGTTGAGAACCACTGTTCTAAGGGGAGTGTGATAGTAAATTAGACTATGGAGACAAAAATCAGAAAGTGAACAACTTGCATCAGAGAGACAAGAACTCATAGAAAGGAGGAGACTAAATAATAAAGACTCATGAATGTACCCAACATACTTATATGTTTTAAATTGACATATTTTGTGTGTTTAAATATTTTCCATGCATTCTCTCTGTGTACCTTGTATGGGTGCTGCCCACAGATATCCAAAAGGGCATTTGATCCCCTGGAATTGCAGTCCAGATGGTTGTCAGCCAAGATGTTGGTACTGTGAATCACACATAGGTCCTATGCCAGAGCAAAAAGGGTTATACACTGCTGAGCCATCTTTCCGGACCCCAGAATGAATATGTTTGATATGCAGATGATCAGAGCATAAGCCAAGACATCATTAGTAGAAATAATTAGCCAGCCTCAGGATGTTTGCTAACTTCCTGGACCCTAGGCCTCATCAGCCTGCCAGTTTGACACATTGAAATGCAGAGAACTTATAGGCAGGAAGAACATGAATAGGAGGCTGGGCATATTGGTGCACTCCTCTAATCCCTGCACTCATGAAGCAGAGGCAGGATGGTCTCTGTAAGCTCAAGGACACCCTGGTCTCAATTTATTTGGTGCATGGGGGAAGGCAAAAAAACGTGTGTGCCTTAGCAGAAGTGTGGAGGTCAAAGGATAACTTATAGGAGTCGGTTCTCTCCTCTCACCATTTCAGTCTTGGGGATCAAATTCCAGTTGTTAGTCATGCTGGCAAGTGCCTTTATCAACTTACTCCTCTCACTGGCCCTCTGATTTATACTTTGATTGAAATTTTTTAGCATTAATATACACAAACATACATACATACACACACAAAATACCAAAAACCACACACACACACACACACACACACACACACACACACACACACACACACACACTACAGGGCCAGCAGAAAACTCTTTGCAAGCTTAATTACCTGGATTGCATCCCACAAAACACAACAATTCCCAGCATACTGCTTGACTACAACTGAGGTATTGAACCCAAACCAAGGTAAAGATCATTGAACGTAATCCCCAATGTACTTCCAGCAATGACACTCAGATCCACCTATCACATGCCAAAGCTCAAGCAGTCTCAAATATCTTTACAGAGTATAACATTTTTCTCCAAATATGTTTTTAACATTGTTATACATAGTTTAAAGGAACACAGCACAGCCTATTTTGTTTCAGATTTCAACTGAATTTGAAAATAAAAAAAAAAAAAGGTTTAGATTATACACACTTCACATAAACACCAAACAAAAGAATTAATCTCAGAAACAAACCAGGAAAGTTAATCCTCTAACGTTCAATTGCAGAAAAGACAAAACAAAAGAACAAAAAATGAAAAAAAAAAACAAAAAACATTCTGATGGTACTAAGATCTGCACTTTAAAGAAGATGAAAATTAAAATGAACCTGTCATCTCTTGGAGTGGTAATAACTGTTAGCTACAAAGAAAAAAAATACTTACTGGTAATTCCCACTAATTTGAAAAGTACCATATATCCTTTTGAGACGAATGATGCCTCTGTGTTCCTGTGTCTACAGTAGTGCAAATAGTGTCAGAGAAGAGGAACCCAGCCTGGAACATTCCTTCACCTCCTTCATACCCTCACTTCTGGGAACCCACAAGGTAATCACCTTCTAAGGCAGTAATTTGCAATCTTCCTAATGTTGTGACCATCTGATGCACTTCCTCATGTTGTGGTGACCCTCAACATAAAATTATTTTCCTTGCTACTTCATAACTGCAATTTTGCTAGTGTTATGAATTATAATGTCAACATCTATATTTTCAGAAGGTCTTAGGTGACCTCCATGAAAGAGAGTCCTAGGATTCCCAAATGGGTCAGTCACTACCCACAAGTTGAGAACCACTGTTTTAATGGTTATCTGATAGTAAATTAGACTATGGAGACAAAAATTAGAAAGTGAGCTACTTGCATCAGAGAGATAAGAACACAGAAATGCAGAGAATAAAGTAGTAGTCAAAGGATAATTGATAGGAGTCGGTTCTCTCCTCTCACCATTTCAGTCTCAGGGATCAAATTCCAGTTGTCAGTTATGCTGGCAAGTGCTTTTATCACATTAGTCCTCTCACTGGCCCTCTGATTTATCCTTTGAAAATATTTTAGCATTAATATACACATACATACACACACATGCCCACACACCACAAAAAAAAGAAACAAACAAAAAGTAACCACACACAAACACTCCAGTGCTGTGGATGATGATTGATAGATAAAACACCGATTGGCCAGTAGCCAGACAGGAAGTATAGGCAGGACTAGCAGAGATGAGAATTGAGAGAACAGGAAGGCAGAGAGGAGGAGATGCCAGCCTCCTGTCCAGGGAGCATCATGTAAAGGCAACAGGTAAAGCCACAGAGCATGTGACGATGTATAGATTAACAGAAATGGGCTGAGTATAAGAGTAAGAGCTAGCCAATGAAAGGCCTGAGCTAATGGCCGAGCAGGTTAAATAATATAAGCGTCTGTATGTTTATTTTATAAGTGGGCTACAGGACTGCTGGGGCTTGGCAGGACCTGGAGAGAAAAACTCAAGCTACACTCAAGCGCCAGCAGATCACTCTGCTTGCAGGCATAATGACCTGGGATCCAGCCCAGAAAACACAATTGCCAGCAAACTGCTTGACTACAACACACAGGTTGAAGCAAAACTCAAGTAAAGATCGATCAACGTCATCCCGAATGTACTTCCAGCAATGACACTCAGATCCACCTATCACAAGCCAAAGCTCAAGCAGTCTGAATTAAACTCTTCAGAGTAAAACACTTTTCTCCAAGTCTGTTTTTAATATCTTTATACATAGTTTAAAGGAACACAGCACAGCCTATTTTGTTTCAGAATTCAGCTTATTTTGAAAATCAAACCAATAAAGGTTTTTGCACCCACACACACTTCACATAAACACCAAACTAAAGAATTAATTTCCAAAACCAAGAAAGTTCATCCTCTACTTTTCCATTGCAGAAAAGCAAAAAACAGCTTTTCTTTGGTAGTGAGATCTCCACTTTAAAGAAGATCAAAAGTGCAATGAACCTGTCTTCTCTTGACTAGGTAATAACTGATAGCTACAAAGAAAAAAATATTTACTGGTAATTCCCACTAATTTGAAAAGTAACATATTTTCTTGTGGGAGGTATGATTCTTCTGTGCTCCTATGTCTGCAGTAGTGCAAATAGTGTCAGAGAAGAGGAACCCAGCCTGGAACATTCCTTCACCTCCTTCATGCCCTCATTTCTGAGAACACACAAGCTAATCACCTTCTAAGGCAGTAGTTTGCAATCTTCCTAATGCTGTGACCATCTGATGCACTTCCTTATGTTGTGGTGACCCTCAACATAAAATTATTTTCCTTGCTACTTCATGTAATTTTGCTAGTGTTATGAATTATAATGTCAATATCTGTATTTTCAGAAGGTTTTAGGTGACCTCCATAAAAGAGAGTCCTAGGATTCCCAAATGGGTCACTACCCACAAGTTGAGAACCACTATTTTAATGGTTATCTGATAGTAAATTAGACTATGGAGACAAAAATCAGAAAGTGAGCTACTTGCATCAGAGAGACAAGAACACATAGAAATGCAGAGAATAAATCATAGAGAATCATGCAGTAGCTGATGTCAACAGACATGTACCCAACATATGTGTATGTTTAAATTTGTTTTATGTTATGTGTTTAAAGGTTTTGCATGCATTATCTGTGTACCTTGTATGTGGTCTGCCCACATATATCCACAATGTTTTTTGATACCCTGGAATTGCAGTTCCAGATGGTTATCAGCCAAGATGTGGGCACTGTGAATGAAACCCAGGTCCTCTGCCAGAGCAAAAAGTGTTATACACTGCTGAGCCATCTTTTCAGACCCCAGAGTGAATATGTTTGTTATACAGATGATCAGAGCATAAGCCAAGACATCATTAGTAGAAATAATTAGCCAGCCTCAGGATGTTTGCTAACTTCCTGGACCCTAGGCCTCATCAGCCTGCCAGTTTGACACATTGAAATGCAGAGAACACAGAGGCAGGAAGGACATGAATAGGAAGCTGGGCATGTTGGTGCACTCCTTAATCCCTGCACTCATGATGCAGAGGTAAGCTGGTCTCTGTGAGTTCAAGGACACCCTAGTCTCAGTTTATTTGGTGCATGGGGGAAGGCAAAAAAACGTGTGTGCCTTAGCAGAAGTGTGGAGGTCAAAGGATAATTTATAGGAGTCAGTTCACTCCTCTCACCACTTCAGTCACAGGGATCAAATTCCAGTGATCAGTCATGCTGGCAAGTGCCTTTATCAGATTAGTCCTCTCACTGGCCCTCTGATTTATACTTTGACCTAAAATATTTAGCACTAATACACACAGGGAAAAAAAAAAAAACCCACACACACTTGATCACCGGCAGCATACTCTCCTTCCAATCCTAATGACCTGGGTTCCATCCCAGAAAACACAACAAGTAGCAAGTGTCTCACATACACAGTCCCAGCACACCCAGATCCAGATTGGAGGCTGAGAGAGTAGAACAGCTCTGAGACCTGCAAGCCAGCCCGAGTGGAGCACACAAATCAGCAGAAACAGTAAAAGACCCTGTCTCACCTAATAAAAGAGAGAACCCCTCCTGAAGGTTATACTTTGGCCTTCACATACACACACACATACTAGCATTGCAGAAACAAGCATAGAACTGCATGTACACAAGCATACACACACCCCATGGGTAAATAATTTTTAGAATCATATGAAATTATCTACTCTGATAAATAAATGGTCTGTATACATTCATTAATACTCCTGTTGTAAAACTCACAGTTCAGGAAAATATCTTTAGGGTCTTCTCACTCATTTTCAGTGTTTCTGTTTTTCTTGTGCCACGTGTCCTGGAAAACTATCCTTGTACCATGTGGCCTATGCATTCCCTTTTTATAACTGGCTTAAGCATACTTAGTTAATGAGGAAGAAGCAATGAGTGAAACATGTGAAATATGAAATGTGTTTAAGTCTGACAAGTATCACATGCTTTGATGGGTTCAAGCTGTCATTCTCAATGAAACAACTGAACCAAAAATTTTCACATGATTCATTTGAATACTTTGGACACACATGTGAGATGTATACTCCCTCATCTGTTTTTCTTTGACCAACAATGCTTCTGAAGCTATTTTGCTTAATCATCTCTGTGTTATGTTGATGATGCTGGGTAAGTTTTGGAATGTGTGGGTTTTTCACATAAGTAGCAAATGGCCTCCTCAAACCTGATACCAAAAGGTAAAAGTAGACTGCTAAGTTGTGTCACTAAGATGAAATGAGTGACAAAGACCTGGAGTCATTATTTGTTGTGGAGTAAAAAGTCAATGAGGTTTCCCATCTGCCAAGCAGCATCAAATGCATTTTCAAAACTCATACTTCCTAAATGTACCTGATTAAATCAACTGGTCTTCTTTGTATGCTATCTAAGCCAACATTATGGAATTGCCTCACCTGTTTTTGGCATAATCCACTGGGTAACACCCCTTTAGTGCTTCCAATGAATCCTTCAGGCTTTGTTCATGTCATTCATACTGTAATTAGATGATAGTTATATTATTTTCTATTGCCATACCCAAGGCAACTCCTGGAAGGAAGGGTTTGTTTAGAGTGAGGCTTATGGTTCCAATGGATGCATACAATTCCATCACCACCATAGTTCAGGCAGGCAGACATGGTGCTGGAGCAGCAGCTGAGAGCTACACCTGACTCACACAAGAAGCAGAGAGCTCCCTGGAAACAGCACAAGTCTTCTGAAACCTCCAGGTGAACCAACAATGACACAACTCCTCTGACAAGGCCACACCTCCTAATCCTCCCCCAGATAGTTCCACCAACTGGTGGCCAAGCATTCAAATATATGAGCCCATGGGGGCTGTTCTCACTCAAGCACTCAGAGAGGTGCTGGGGCAGGCCATTATAGCTATCCTCCATGTATAACAATAGTCATAGTTAAGGAGTAAGAACTTGGAAGGCATCTCCCAGAATCCTTGCTTGCAGCTCCACAGCTCCCCTCTGCTGTGGGTAGTGACACATTTTGCTCATGCGTTTCAAAATCACCCTCACTGTTCTGCTGTCCCAGGAACCTAATGGGCAATTGTGAAAGGTCATGGGGAAAGCATTAATGCAGTGCAGAAGAGAGAGGTTCCTTTTGTTCCCAAAGCTCCTCATTGTCACATTTTCTTAATCTGGCCAGAATGCAAAATCCCAGTCATAAAGACAGGAAAGGACACATCTTGTCCTTTTCTTTTTACAACTTCCCATTATACAGAAAATGACAGTGTCAGGTAGTAAAGAGCAGAAGAAAAGAAGGTATAAGGCTGAGCAGATCCCCTTTTAAGATTTCTGAAAACTCTGGGCCTTTTACTCAGAAAGGAAGCAGAGGTTTCTGAATATCAATGGCTGTTGTGATAAAATTAGACTAAGAAGAGAAACATTTGGGGGCTATAAAACAAGACCCTGACATTAACAGATAAGTCTTAAAATGAATAAAATCAGTGAAATTGTTAATGAAAACTAACATCTCAAAATTTCCTTAAAGGTTGAAGAAAAGGCAGAATTTTTACTTCCTATACCCTATGAGCCCCATATTACTGTTCTCCACCCTTGTGTCCATTTAACATCTACATGTGATGGAAACAAAGTTAACCCTGTTGATCAGAAAAATAATGCGCGTTCAGCCCAGAACACTGACCTGGATCCCACAATTACTTTAGATATTTGCACTGGGCATGCAAGGGGGAGACCATATGCTGACCCTGAGCCTACTCCT